CTATTGTATATTATAGTTTAAAGCACAAGTGTCTTGTTTTGCTGAATATGTTGGGAGTACAGACTGCTGTACACAGACACACATACTTAATCCACTATGAATATTGGGAATGTACACACACTACACAGTACACACACTCTCATTATGTTTAGCACCAACTAGGTATAACCCAAATCTCTCATTTCTGGCTGGTTCCCGATAGTTACAGCAGGCAGAGTGGGGCTGGGGCCCGTTTGAAACCCCACCTCCAGTTCTCAAGGCTGGACTGCCTTGCTTATGAGTTGCCATAAGAGACATGATAATTATAGCTGTTCTCTCTCTCTCTCTCACTGTAGCATTACAACGTAAAGTATTATTGGTTAAGAGATATAAGGAGCTGAAGGAGTCAGGACAATTAGAAAGAGTGTTGAGAAAAACATGTCCAGAAATTGCAATGGGACTTCCGGTCGCGTTAATTTAATAATATTCATTGGAATTACCATAGCAACGGCAGTTCAGCAATGGTGGATTGATAGGAAGCTTCACTACAAAGCTTGCTAACGTCTTTCTGGTACATGGATGGGACTTCACTAGATACTTGAGGCTTCTAGAATGCTACTTAATGCAATTGGTTATGGTAGTTTTCTCATATTCTTTTGTTAAAGTGGCAAGCGTGGTGAAAGAACAGGCCGGCTCTTCTCAACAAACGGCCGTCTTACTTCAAAAAGGTCTAGAGACACTATTTGCTTGTATATATAAGATGTTAAGCACTCTTTCTTTCACTTTATTATTCCTAAGAGAAGAGGAAAGCACTTGTGACTTGTTGACTCTTGCTGCTGTACCCGTCATCATTGAAATGGCTAAAATTACTTCACCTTCAGGAGACAAATGTTCCAAACAAAGTTTTGAATTTCTTTATCTTTTTTGCATCATTGGGTAGTAAGAATTTTGTACTTTCACAAAATAAGTGAGCAAATTGTCAAAAATTGTTTGAAATTTAGATATAACCATTCAAAAAGTAAAAAAATTATCATACATACATAAAGGAATGACAAGATGGCGGCACTGACTGCCTCATCTTCAATTGGTAAATGTTCCACACAAAGTTACTCCAAATGCTGTAATATTTAGCAGGAACACAGGTAGATGGATGAAGAACAGCTACTGAAGTGCGCAAATTGATGATTCTTATTGTAAAGAAAGATATAGCCTAGTAAATGGAAATGTCCATTCCTGCCCTGTATAAAGTTAATCAGTGGTATACGGAGATAATTGCTCAGTATACTACTCCGTGTCCACTCATTTCTGGACATGCCAACTTTCTGACCTTCATTTATCATAAAATGACTCCACAGGATGCAAAAAGTTCCTATGTAGCTATTAGAAACAATACCTGTCCAACGGAGCACTCACAGGATTATATTTTACATTTTAATGATGAATTTTAAAATCCGCCATAAGGTACCTTTTGTCAATTATGGTCACATATGAAGATTGAGGTTGATTTTTCAAGATGGCGGCCGTTTTTATGATTTTCAAACACTCATAACTCTTTTATCTTACGTTTTACAGCCTTATAAATGGCTTAGATGAGCTCTCCTTCACTGAGCAATTCACCTGGTACCTTTAAAGTGAACTGTACTGTAGCGGAAGCATTTCTGGAGAATAAGCCCAAATTCAAATTTCTGCAAAATTCTTCAGACTTTTTCTTCTTTCTTTCATCTTCTTCTATCTCCCCTCTAATCTTTTAAGCCAGTGAAGTGCTCGAGTTGGCTTTTACATCATTCCTCTGGGCTTGGGT